AGGCACTATACCTAGTGCAGAAACTAGTATACTCCTCTAAGTTAGGGTATATTTAGATCTTATTAAAGGCAGCATAAATATCTAGCTTTATAAAGATTTTAGCTTTAGCTAGCTAGGATAATAGATTATCTATATAGGGTATTAGATACGCGTCCTTTTATATTAAGCTATTAAGCTTATAGTAATCTATATAGATCCTAAGGCCTCTATTTAGCTTCTTAATATATAGGATAGGAGAGGTAAATATGCTCTAACTAGTCTTAATAAAACCTTTCTATAGGTGCTCTTGTATATATTCCTTAGTGGCCTAGAGTTTATTAGTATTTTAATAATAGAGGGGACTCTAGTAGTTTAGAAGGGGTTCCTCTAGGACTATCTTATAGTTATAAGGCTAGTAGATTAGAAGTTTATTAGCCTTAGCCTTATTAAAGACGTCCTAATAGGAGTTATAGTTAGATAGGAGCTTCTAATCTAGCAAGGTATAGTTAACAGTATCTTATTTAGATAGGGTTTAGATCTAACACTTAATCTTATATAGGCTAGTAGTAAAGAATTTATTATAAGAATTTTTTATATTAAAATAGAAAGTATTAGTAGAAATAGTAGCAATTTAGAATTTTACAGGTAGGGTAATAGTTAGTAATTAGACTAGGGTAAGTGGCATAATAGGTTTAGTAGCAGCCCTATAAGTAGCTAGAATTTTAAGTATACTACGTATCCTATTAATTAAACTAGGACTATTTTAGTTCTAATTCTCTTCTTAATCCTAAAGGGCGTCTCTTTATAAGATATTATAGGTAACTAGAGTAGATAGGACTTGCTAGTAGAGTTATACTAGAATTAGAGGTGCGGGGTTATAGGTTAGAGGATATATCTCTAGCTAGATTAGTTAAGATTTATCTATATTAACTAGGATTTAGAACTATTTTAGCTAGTGTTATCTAATAATATAATCCTAAGAACCTAAGTCTACTATTATAAAGGGGTAGTTATATACCTTTTAGCTACTAACTATTATATAAAGCTAAATATAGTAGGTAACTAGGGAGGTAATCTAATCCTAGAACCCTTTAATAGTAAGCTTATATAGTAGCTTTTAGATAGGTACCCTAAGTGTAGAAGAAATATTATAAGCAATTTTTAAATTAAGAAATAAGTAACCTTAGGCCCTAGTATCTACTAAAGCGTTTAGGCAAAAACTAGATCTATTAAGGTATAGGGTTATATATATAAGTAAATAGGAACTAATAAATAATTTAGTTAAGGAAAGGTTAGATAAGTTATATTAAGTTAGGCCTAGGAAGGAGGATCCTCCTAGGTGTTATTATTTCCTATCTAATAGCTATCTAAATTAGTTAATTTAGTAGTTTCTTCTTCCTTAGAATTCTTAATAATATATTCTATATCTATAGCCTAAATCCTAGGGGGTTTAAGGTAGTTACTAGAGAAGTGCCTAGGCTTTCTATAATTATAGTAAGTTCCTAAGGTTTCCTATTATAGTAGCGCTAGGAGTGGCTAGCGTAGTAGATAGGGGTTAATTATTTTAAGGGGTAGTGCCTTATTATTATAAGTAGTACATATAAGGTTTAGCTATTAAAGGTCTATTATAGGGTTTCTAATTAGCGTCTAAATAGGACTAGTTTCTAGAGTATTAGAAGGGGGTTAGTCCTTTTCTAGATAATAGAGGGGTCTAAGTAGGAGTAGATAAGGTAGGGTATAGGCAGCGTTCTATATTAAAAGTAGTAAGATAATCTACTATAGTCTTAAAATTATTATACTAATATTATTAGAAAGTAAGGTTTAGTATCTTTAGGGAAGGTGTAATCTTTATCTAGAGGTAGTAATACTACTCTAATTAGGGTACTTCTCCTTTAATAGCAAGACTCTAAAATTATAATTTAAAAGTAAGGAATATATCTATATTAGTTATATATAGGTAGTTAAATATAGTCTAACTCTTAGCTATCTTATTTCTAGTAATAAAGTAAGTTTAAAGGAGGGTAATAATTTCCTTAGCTTTTTAGAACTAAAGACTTAGGGAATTAGATAGGTAATATAGCTCTAAGTATTCTCTTACTAGTCCTAAGTAGTATCCCTATACTAATACTATCTAGGCTCTAGAAAAGGGGTAGTAATTAGTGTTAATCTCTAGCCTATCCTAAATAGATGCTTGCTATTATTTAAAAGTAGGATTAGTACTATTACTAAGTATAAAGATATTTATTATCTTTTTAGATTATCTCTTAGCTTTTATAGTATATACTATAGGGTTTAATATAGAAGCTAAAGACTAGCCTAGTTAGGTAATACCCTATATCTCCTTATAGAGGGAGGTATTGTATAACTAATTAGTAAGTTGCTTAACTTGTTCCTCTAATCTCTCCTTTTTAGATAGGGTTAATATATATTTATCTTTAAAGGAGGTGTTACTTTAAGATTTCCTAGGAGCACAAGGTACCTTAAGAGATAGATAGGAAGTAGGTCCTTCTAGGAGGGCGTTGTTAATTAAGTCTTCCTTATCTAATTTCTTTCTATTAGTAAATAGGCTTTTAAAGGTAGCTAAACTAGATACCCTTCCTTTGCCTTTATCTAATATTTTAGTAGTTAATAAGAATAATAAATCTTTTCTTTAGGGGGTTAGTTATAAAAGGATATTAGCTTTACCTCTAATTCCTCTAGGCTTTTAGTAGTCTCTAAGTCTCTACCTTAATATAATCTAACGCGATTTTTCTAAAGGTAATCTAGCACTACCTAGTAGTCTAGAAGTCTAAGCCTATAGGCTTTAGTTATTAGAAGTTCTAATAGCTATTCTAACTATAGAGTTATAAGGTTAGACTACTACCTAAACTAAATTAGTAGCTTAAAATAATAATATATATAATATTCTTAAATACTATTACTAGCTAGGATAATATTCTTCTTATAATATAATAACTTAGGTAGGTAAGGTATCTAAAAGGTATTCTATATAACTTAAAGGCATATAGGAGTGCGCGTCTGTATAGAAAAGGATAAGATTCCTACACCTATAGGTCTTGTATAAAAGGACAAGAAGAATATACCTATCCTAATTATAGGCAAGCTGCTCTCTATACATATTAGTAAGTTAGGCCTTTATTAGGCCTAATTTGGCATAGAATAATAGGCAAGCAATTCTGCCTTATTGTTACAAGGGTTAGGTAGCGGTTAGCCTAATAAGGACTAAAGGTTAACGCTAAGTAGCCTCTACTATACTAGTATCTATAGGTAGGTTATATAGCCTAGCTATAAATATAGAGGGACTTAAGGTACTATATATTACTAGTTAGTGCTAGGTAAACTTAGTGTGCTATATATTCTATTTAGTTATTTAGTAGGTCTATAGGAGGCTATAGTAGTTAAAGTAAAAACTAGAGTCTAGTCTTCTATAGAGTTTAAACTAATCTACACTTAAGGTAAGTAGTAATTTAGGAGGTATAGAGGAGAAAGAAAAATTATATATTCTAATATAGAAATCTTTTTTTAGAAGTACACTACGCTATTATAGAAACTATAGTATTCTTATTTATAATATAAGTATTACTACTACCTCTGTTATTTAGATAGTAAGTACTAGTACTTATTAGTACTAAGATAGCTACTTTAGGTAAGTAGTATAAGCTTATAGCAGTATTTATATATTTTGTATAGAAAAATAGGACTAGGCTTATTATAACTTCTTTATTCTATCCTATAGTATAAGTCTATTAATGCTCTATTTATTAAGAGCTTAGGTAGCTAATTAATAGTAGCACTATTCTTAGTAGGCAACTAATTATTATTATAAGCTTTAGCTACTAAGTAATATAGATAATAGAGATAGGGCATAGGGCACGTGTAGATAGTTGTGCATTATTTATTCTAAGTCTACCCCTAGTATCTATCCTTTATAGTAGATATATATAGGGGGAGCTGCGCCAGCCTTAGCGGCTGGCGCCACTTAGGGCAGCGCCGACCCTTCGCTAGGCTAGCGCGGCTTGCCAAAATGCAACCACATTAGGTTAGAATAGCAGCAGTCTATAAGTATCTTAACAGTGATCGTCCGTCAAAAATTAGACGATGTTAAAGCTGTTCTTGAGAATTTATAAGTACAAGTCGATGTCTAGCAAGCCTATCGCACCTGGCTTCTCAACAGCCACCTCTCTAGAGGCGAGCCACTGTTAATTTTCAAGTCCACAAGTCACTTACTGTGTCTTGCTCTACTACTACTAGCCAAAATGTTGCTCGCCTTGCAAGCAAATAGGCCTGCAATACGCGTAATCATTCCTCTCGCAAATGATCAGCTTAGCCAGGTATGCAATACCGCGACAGCCAGACACGGCAAACAGGACTAAAGATGTATGTACTTAACCTTTTATCCAGCAGAATCCTATTTAAGCCTTGTAAGGTGCAACTGCAACCATGTAGTTTGTATTGGCATAAATCTAACTATAAAAGACTTAGGCTTATCAAGCCTAGTATAATGTTCGTCCAAACTAAAATAGCATCTGCAAGTGCAATAGCTTTAAGCTAGACGTCACAAAAATAGTCTAATAGTTAAAACATAAAGTCTAAAGACCACGCGCAATACCTAGTATGATAACAGATAGACTTTATATATAGGGCCAATGTTTTACTTGATGTTATCAAGTAAAGCAAGTTTTGTGGCTTGTGAGTGGCTCTCCTGGCGCCCCGTGTTACCCCACACGCCTCTATCTGCGCCGCTATTCCCTTCCTGCGATAATACCCTAGCCAAGAATATTAAGCAGAAAACCAAGGACAACTAGGATGCAACATTATTAGACTATATACGCGCTTTCTGCGAGATAGGGGCGTCTCTGGTGTCTGAAAACGTTGTGACATATTTGTATCAAGTTAACGATACGATAAACAAGTACATTTAGGGTTCTACTGTACGGTAGCTAAGATAACAGTATTTAAATATAATGTTACCTGGCGAACACGTTTGGTTGACGAAATGGTTGCACGCGATATCCGCCACTATGACCGTGCGGGCTATCGCTCTCCACTACAAGACCCTCCCTGTTAGTCGAGCCGCACGGGGAAAGGCATCTAATATCCTAGGTTAGATTGACTGTGCATAATCCAATCTACCGCATACCAAGTTATGGTATGCAATCGCAGCGCAAGCATTTGATAGTCCTTGGAGCTTGGCCATCACAGGTCTTAGATAAGACTATGAGACAGGCCTACCAGCATTCGACTTTCGCTCCTAAGGCCGCCGTATTGGACCCATATACTGGGCAGATCCTTGGAAATGTAATGTAGGTCATTTTGAGATCTGGAGATTTAAGATCTCAGGGACCCTCGTACGGCTAGATGCTTGACCACCAAGTCAGTTCAATTTGAGCTCTTCGAGTAGCCACTCATATAAACAGCATACCCAACATACGGAATTTATCTGCCGCCACCCTGGCTCCATCAGATCCACTCGAACGACAGCCGCTCCTGCAACAAGCCTCTTCACGACCAGGTATTTCAAGATTATCACTCGCTTCTGAGGACAGACGTCATTGGAGCGGGGGTCTTGAATCCTACGAGGCGACTGCCTCAAGCAGCCGAGAGCACAGCTTCTTAAAGCCTGTTGTAACTTCTACCATATTTCATTCAAGTGATGAAGGATCCTACTTTCCCGCTGCAATCATGGAGAAGCTTAAAAGTTCCAAAGTCGCTTATTGGTCGAACAAGTTTGCTGTAGAGAGCGAGCCTGGCCTTACTACTGCACAGCTCATGCTGTTCAACGATGATCTTAAACCTGTACGTATCTCATCCCTAATTTATAGCCATTCTTGCTAATCAAGCAAAGGTTATTCCAGAACTACGCAAATGGTCCGCTAGAAATTTCGTTTTCTTCTGGATTGGTACGTTGATGGGCATGTTTCCCTGTGTATAGGTACTGACGTCCAATAGCTGATTCCTTTAACATCAACACATGGATGATATCCTCTGCCAACATCGTTGATGGCCTATCCTGGTGGCAGTCTTGGATATGTGTCTGGGTAAGAGGTATACCAGTAATGCGAGAAAACCTTGATTTAATCTGTTATTTAGTTTGGCTACAGTATTGCGGAAATGTTTCGTATGTATGACTGGTCGTATCGGTGCTACATATCACATCTCCTTCCCAGTCGTCAACAGAGCTTCATTCGGGATCTGGGGAGCGCTGTGGCCTGTCTTTAATCGCGCGACGATGGCATGCATTTGGTATGGTGTGCAAGCCTGGATTGGAGGGCAATGTGTTTACCTGATGATTCGTGCGATATGGAATAGCTGGCGTGATGTATGTTCTTTCTCTTGAGCGGTCTGATCTCGCTGACAGCCAATAGACCGCAACCACAGGCCCAGGTGGTATCTCAAACGGAATTCCAAACTCAGGGACTAACACTGTACTCTTCGTATTCTTCTTCCTTTTCTGGCTGGGCTCTCTACCATTTATCTATCCCCCGGTTTACAAAATCCGGCATCTCTTCACTGTCAAGGCTGCTGTGGTCCCCGCGGCCGGTGTCGCTTTTTTCATATGGGCTGTTGTCAGGGCTAAGGGCCTGGGTCCTATCATTCACCAACCAGGATCCAAGTCCGGCTCAGAGCTCGGTTGGCTCATGATTCGCGGTATAATGAGCGCCATCGCCAACTTTGCAACTCTAATTGTAAATGACCCCGATTTTGCACGTTTCGCTACGAAGCCATCAGACGCATTCCTCCCGCAACTTATAAGTATCCCGGTTGGTTTTGTGGTCACCTCCTTCATTGGCATTATCGTATCTTCATCGTCCACAGTAATCTTTGGCCAGGCGATCTGGAACCCTCTAGACCTGCTCGAGGCCTTCCTCAACGAAGGTGGTTCTGCACAACGATTTGGCGTTTTCTGCATTGCTGCAGCCTTCACTCTGGCGCAGCTTGGTACGAACATTGCCGCCAATTCTGTTTCTGCTGGCACCGATCTCACAGCTTTGGTTCCCCGCTGGATCAGTATTAGACGAGGAGGATACATCTGCGCCCTCATCGGTCTGGTCATGTGTCCTTGGAACCTGCTCTCATCTACCAATAACTTCACCACTTACCTGTCTGCCTACTCAGTCTTCCTTTCTTCCATTGCAGGCGTCATGATCTGCGACTACTATTGGGTCCGAAAAGGGTATTTACAGATCAAAGATCTCTACTCTGGTAAAAGGACAGATCCCTACTATTACACTTTTGGTTTTCACTGGCGCGGCTATGCCGCCTACATTGCCGGCATCCTGATCAACGTAGTTGGATTTGCAGGAGCAATTGGTCGCGAGGTCCCAGTTGGCGCGAGGCGCATCTATGACCTAAACTTCTTCGCTGGCTTCATCGTCTCTGCCGTCGTGTACAAGATACTTTGCATCATCTCACCGATTCCGGCAACGAGTGATAAGTGGTTGGAGGTTGGCAGTGAGATAAAGGATGTCTCTGTCGCGTACCAAATCAACGAGTATGATCGATATGATGAGGAGATGATGCAAGGTGGTAATGGGAAGTTGTCGCAAGATGCGGATGGCAAGCCAATTCCTGCGAAGAAAATTTAGCCACCCTGCTTTTGAAGAAGGCGCTTCCATGGTTCTCAAGAGCTACTTCACTTTTTTCCTCAATTTACTGGTTCACGTTGCTCCTAGATGTCCGGCCCGTTAGTACCAAACACATTTTCTTCCGAACATAATTGTTCATTCCGTCAGCACTGTTTTGAGAGGACCAATAAATGAACTCGTAATACTTCCCAAGCACCAAGTACAGCGCCGACGACGTTTTCCTGGTAACAATAGCATTGCTGGATATTTTGCTGGGCTTGCACAAGCGTCATGTGTATGCATGCATTCTGATAATTATCGCTCAAAGCCGCTTTCACACTGAAACTGCTGATATCTAGCTGCATGCTAATTGTGCGAGCTGACGATTCAATGCAGGGAAAACATTAAACGGTGCCTTCAATATCGAAGTGGCCTTCAATACCGTAGTAAGGGGACTCAATATGTCTGGCAAGTATCTTCTACAAAGGCGAGGATTAGCCATATTCTAATGACTCTTGTCCACAAGTTCGTACATAGCCGGGGCCTGTACCACCATTTCCTGAGGCTGCAGCGCCTGCATCCCACCAGAGCAGTCCTGCACCTTGACGTCCCTCAACTGAGCTAACACCTCTAGCTAATACTAACCTGATCGAGGGACACGATGACCCCATTAAAGGCCTCAAGGTAATCCGTGTTCCAGTTGACTTTAGTATCGAGCTTGGGAACCTCATCGAAGAGCGTCGATGAAACCAATGGATCCGCAAACTCCACATACAGATCAAACTCTTCTTTGAGCGTGCGAATGATCGCAACACCCTGAGAATTGCTCAAGATGCTCTGTCCGCGCTTGAACCCGAGCCCAACAACCACAATCCTGAGTGGACTCATATCTCTCTCAGCTTCTGGCATCTGCTCTGCCCTATCCTCAAGCAGTTCTCTCATAAAACGCCTGGCCACATTCCCCGGCCTCTGCCATGACAGTGCCGTTGCATGTTCCAGCAGTGGCATATCGCAATTGCTCAGCAAATAGTACGGGTTTACTGGTATACAGTGACCCCCTATTCCAGGCCCCAGCCGGAACGGCAAATAGCCAAATGGCTTTGAGGCAGCAGCTGAACTGACCTCGAAAGCGTCGATGCCCAGAGAGAAGCAAGCATCTGCCATTTCGTTTGCGTATGCGGCGCATACCATGCGTTGGCAGTTTTCGTAGAGTTTGGTCATTTCAGCGACTTCGGGAGAGGATACGGGCAGAATGGTGGGGAAGACGAGGGAGTAGAGAGTTGATATTAAGGAGAGGGAAGCCGGGCTGAGGCCTGATACTATCATTAGGATTTCGGTGAAGGAGGGTTTGGTGCGGCCGGGGTCAACTCGCTAGATTACGAGGTCAGTACGATGCAGAATTCCAGTAGGGGCTTGTGGGTCAGGTGAATAGTAAGAATGCTTGGCTTACCTCAGGTGACATGCCAGCCAAGAAACATTTCGTTGCCATAAGGGGTGACATCAATTTGCGTGTCATACCGACAGCAACGGAGCTCTCGATGATGACGGTGGATCCAGGCTAAGCATGCTCCTCAACCGTAGCAATAGCCTGGTGAAGGAATGTCATATCGACTTGCTTGTCTTCTGTGAGACTCTTAGGTACTGCAATCAGGATATGGCTTGCATCTCTAATGTCTGCCACTACGGTAAAAAATTGTTTACTGTAGAATAGTACGCTAGGGGTTTACTATATAGGTGTAAACTAACCTTGTATATACCTATAAATAGGTTTAAAGTGGTGGTTTACTTTTATTAAAGTAGTAGTTTACTTTTATAGTAGGGGTTTAAATTAAGTATAAAAAGTAGTTTTATTTCTATTATACGCTATAATACCTAACTAAGACTAAAAGGGGTAGAGAAGATTAGCTTTACGCTATACGCACATATGACATAATAATAAGTCATGATATTTTTACTAATAGGAGGTGGTGATAATAGAGGTGGTGATAGAGGTAGTGATAGAGGTGGTGGAGGTGGTGGAGGTGGTGATAGAGGTGGTGGTAGAGGTGGTGGAGGTAGTGGAGGTGGTGATAGAGGTAGTGATAGAGGTGGTGGTAGAGGTGGTGGTAGAGGTAGTAAAGAAGATTAAAGAAAGGAGGGGTAAAATACTTAAATAGTTAGTAGGAAACTAGATGTTACTACGTAATACTAGTAGATTAATAGAAGTAGAAATAAAAGTAGTTTACTTTTGTAGAATACATAGTATAATAAACCCTATTTAGGTTTACTTCTTCTACCTAAACTACTTCTTAGTCTACTTTAGATAAATATGGCTACTGTAAACCAGTTTTGTACCGTAGTGTGCAGGATCGACTGTATATGTGATCTGCAAGCCTCTCAATTCCTGACAGACCTCTTGTAATCTGCTTTCGCTCAGATCAAATGCAATGACAATATAATGTCTGGAGAAAGCTTTCACGAGCTGAGCTCCAATATAGCCAACTCCAATAATGGCCACACGTGGCTCTGGTACCTGCTGCGGGACGAAGAAATACTGCAGATGGGCAAATTCATCGCAAAAGTTTGTAGGTGGGGTGTCGAACAAGTCTAGAGGAGGAGTTAGAGGCAACATTATAAGCTCCAAGGAAATCCTGAAACCATCTGTTTTCGTAGTGGAAACTGTGTCGTCCATTCTGCTAGTGGAAGGTGACTCCATTGTGGTATAGAGTGTGAGATCAGGTTAGGGATAAGGAGTCACAACAAACTTTTATCTACTAATATTCTAAGAAGCAATTGGAGCAATTTTTGGCGAATATGTTGTCTGTGGTACATTCTGTTCAAAATGCTGCGGACATCCCAGGTGTAGAAAATCGTCCCAAAGAAACGTACTCAGCATCGCGACAAGGAATTTTCAAGTTGCATCGTCAACACTGTTGTAACCGTGGTAGGGGAACTCCAAGAAATTGGTCACGAAGCGCCTTCCCGTTGGTTCGTTCATCTCGGTCAACGATTAGTTGCATACCCTCGCGTTGTGGTCGAATGGGGTAGCCAGCTAATTGCACTTCCACAGGGCCTATGAGCTAGTGAATCACTGCTTCGCTAGCTGATGCATGACTGCCACCTCTTTCAAGAGGGTTAGTTGGACTCGAGTCTTTAATCATTTCCCTCCAAATTCTTTGTAGATCCTATGTCTTTACCGTATTCAAATTTTGTTTGGACAGTCCTGGAAGATAGGGCGTCGATTCGCTTCTCAGAAGATACAGTGTCTTGACATGACAATTTTCAGCACCAGAATATAGCCACTAAATCCTATTTCAGTGCTGATACGTTGGTCTTTGTTTAATTATAGCTCTTGAAAACAGGTGCAGTAATCGGTTAGTCCAAGCTCATTGGTCCGAATTAGTTTGGTTCGCTGGTCCCGGCGGGGATATTCTACCTAAAAGCTACCTAGCCTGAGGCTACTCCCTCATTTTTTCGACCAGACCCATACTACCACTGAAAAATCAGTTGCCTGAAAGCATTCTGGACGGGAATAATCTACATATGCCACGATTAATACGAGCCAAGTTTGTCGGTACTTTACTTGTAAGACATCGACATTATAAGCCTTGGATGTAAACCAACTACAGCGGCCTGCTGAGGAAGCGAATGCTACACTACCACTCTAAACAATCCAAACCGAGACGATGGCCGTAGTCATCGAATAGCGGCTGCCATGTGTCTGGAGAGAGATAGTACACCCTGCTGTCAGAGCGGTTTCCACAGTGCATAGTGCTAAGGCTTCGATAGTAACAACGTGTCCCGGCGGGACAGAACATGAGGCCACGTCCAATTGCGAGTCCAGGTAGCTTATTGTAGGACTGGTACCTAACATTGGCCCCAACAGTACCGTATAACAATGGGTTTTAGACACTCTACGTGTGAACAACACCGACCCGCATATTGTGAGCTTCCAAGTCGACACTAGACCGCCTTCAGGTCTGAGGCCAAATGGTCGTACAATTGCAGAACCATGGCAACTCAAGCACCGGACTTTTTTCCCCTCGTGTATCACACCTACACAACCTATTTCATTTTATGAGGGCGAGTTTTCGCGCTCCATAACCTCGAATCACCCTTGTTGTTGGCCCTACCACAAAGCGCTTCTCGATATGAGTGTTCTGCCGCCATTTCGCCCGCTTGCCTTGAATCTTCCTCGACCACCAGATCAGGCATACCTGCGACCAGAGAGCATGATCCTTGAGGCCATGTCTCGTGCCCTCATCCACAGTATATTTGAGGACATTGGGTATAACAACAATGTATCGCACACTGACACTCTTGTGAGCAACAACAGCCGAGAGGAAAAATGCAGAAAAGCCCCGAACTTCAAGGAAACAAACCCTGAGAGATGTGCGCATACGACTGAGCAGCTGGGTAAGCTGAATACGCAAGTGGATGAAAAGCCCCAATGGTCAGATCCCGATGGCTCAAAGACCAAACGGGCCAGGAAAATGATGCGACTACGGAAATTCGCTTTTCAATTCATCATCTTTGGGTTCAAGTTTGTACAGCTAATCTTGATCAACTATCTTAACTGATTTGCCTTAGTGGCTTCCTCCTCTTCGGTTCATGGTGGTTCAAAGGCTATCACTATGTCTTTGCGCCCTTCATTGCCGTTGGTGTACTCATAAACTTCATCGTCACAATGAGTCTTCTCGTGTGGCTGCTGTTCCGCAAAATCAACCCTGAGATCAAAGCTCCTCCGCCTCTCGATCCTGAAACGCTCATGCTCATCATCCCATGCTACAACGAGAATGAAGGCGAACTGCTGAGTTCAATAGACTCCCTTGTAGAGCAAAGAGGGCTACATGGCTATGCACGGGCTTGCTTCATCATATGCGATGGCAGGGCCCGTGGTCCGGGCATGACCGAAACCACAGGCGATTGCCTACTCGATACCATCCTCACTGAGAAGACATATCGCAAGCACATTGAGAAAGCATATATAGCATACGATAATGAGCCCATGGATGTAACCATACAGAAGGGTATCTATAGAGGTCTGCCATACTTTTGTATCGTCAAGATGACGAACAAAGGCAAGCGTGACGGTATAATTCTAATGAGCTCCTTCGGTACGCTCCTTGTCCTATAGCTCGTGATATTTCGATGGCTAATTATCAGTGTAGCTTACAAGTTTAATAAGCGAATGGAAAGCCCAAAGACAATCTTCTCCAACGAATTCTTCGGAGAGATGACATGCTTCTCTCTCGAGGATTGCGACATCGACAATTTTGACCAGATATTTGGAATGGATGCAGATAGTGTCTTTGATCCCTGGTGTATATGGTACTTGCTTGACGAAATGAGATACCCAAATTGCTACGGTGTATGCGGTGTCGTCTGGGTCGACTTTAAGGATGGCCCATGGAATCTCTGGCGCCTCATGCAAAACGCCGCTTACACCGTTAGCCAAGGACTTCCTCGTCTCCATCAATCCATCGTCACTTCTAAGGTGACCTGCTTACCAGGATGCTGCCAAGTGCTCAAAGTCTGGGAAGAAAATGACGGAGATGACACACTGCGAACGCTGTTCGGGTACTGCCCTAGTCCTTCTGATGGCATGCTCAAGCATTTACGCAGCGCATATAGCGAGGATCGTAACCATGTTTGCAACGTCACGCATTTTCCACATGTACAAACCCGACAGGCAATCCGAGCTGTCGCTTGGACTGATGTTCCTACCTCGTTATCCGTCTTTGCATCCCAGCGTAAACGCTGGTCCATGGGGGCCACGGTTAACGATATGGATCTTATGTTGGCCAAAAATACACAATGGTTTGAGCATGTTCGAGCGTTTGGCAATGTTCACGCTTGGTTTTGCAGCATTTTCATCGTGGGATCCCTCGCTGGACTGATCCACTCTGCCCGGCGTAGGTCCCCTCTTCCTGATCTAGATCTCATATCACTTACCCCTTTTAGACGTCCCCTGGTATGTTACTGTCGGGGTTCTCTCAGGCGTGATTGTCCAATACTTGTACATGCTTGCACTTACCTTCTGGATGCCTAAAACCCGAAAGGCGAAATGGCAATACGTAGCGGGACTCGTTATCTATATCATCACCGGGCCTTTTCTCACGCTCTACGTCCTCTTCTACACGACATGGCATCTGGATTCCTTCGACTGGGGGAAGACTCGACAAGTAATCTCTGAAGACACGGATGGATATGAAGCGGGAGAGAAAAAGAAACGGACATCCGAAGACAGGGAAGCAACTGCTGGACTCAGGAGATCAGCTCCCTGGTAACAAAAGCCTCATTGCGTATCGAGCAGATTGCGACTTCGTTCCGTGTATCTGGAAACGAACCTGTTTTTGTACATTACCGTACTTTATACATTGGTAGGTATCCCCCATGCTAGAGTTCTACTGTAAGGCCCTCCCTTTGTACCCTAATTGCAGGCCAAAGGACATTGGCAATCTCAGCCCCCATGAACATAAGGCGTACTTACTAATCACAGTGTGATTGGCCACACTCGTGAGAGAAGCCATGATAGCTTTACCATGCTTGGACATGACTCTCAGTTTCGGTAATGATTTGTAATGCAGCATATGGTATTTCCATGATCGAAGACTTGAGGTCCCCGTACTTCAAGAACAAATCCCGTGCAAAAAAAAAGGAGTAGATGTGGTGGTGTCAATTGGAGGACGAGAAGCCCAAGAATAGCCAAGCAAGCCATTCGCATTGTCGTGTCGTCTCATAATCTAAAACTGGAATGCACGGACCACGTGCGGGATCGATTTGCATAGCCTCCTTCCCGGGACAGGGAAAGGATGTTGCAGCGCGAAGCAACAAGAAATGTGGAGCGGGACGCGTCTCATACGAAGAAAGAGGCCTAAAGTTCGTGGTTACCCTCTCTGTATGCGTCAGCAGCGAAGCTAGAGTCTTATTTATGGCTTGACACGATTACGCTCTTTCGGTATTAGATAGTACTTCATTGCCACCCCTACCCTGATTGTACTCCTACAACTGCGAATTACCTATACACACTGGTGTACTCTAGAGAAAAAAGAACATCACTTTCACACCTCTGACCCGACTCGAGAACAAAAATCATGTTCGGGGAATTAAATCTCGTCTTGCTCGCCGCCGCCGCAGCAGGCATCCAAGTCGCACAAGCAGACTTCATGGTCTACACCGAACCACCCATCCCCATCACTGCCGTCCCCTCCTTCGCAGCCCCCTCCGACGTAAGTATCTTCCATCTCAACCCCGCCTCATAAACCCCAAAACACCCATCCTAACGGAAACCCCGCCCAGGCTGCAAGCTGGACAACCTCCGTCTTCCTCAACGCCCGCCTCGCCTATGGCCGCTTCACCTCTTCCCTCGGCGAACCCTACCAATCCTCGCTCACATCCGCGCGCTCCGAAATCGACGCCTGGGTCCGAACAGCACCCAGCAACTTCACCATTCCCCCAGAAGTCACAATCGCTAGTGAAACGCCAACCTACTTTTCCAAGCCGGACTGGTACGATGCGCTGCCTACTGGGGCGCGGGCGTTCAAGGAGCAGCAGGTTGCGGACCAGTTTAGTATCGTGAGGAGTGTGATTGCGGGGAGGGGGCCGACGAGTTCGAGTAGTAGTGCTGGGGCGGCGCCAACGGTGGCACCGCAGTGGATGAGGAAGGAGTTTGGTGTATTGGCTGGGGTAGCGGTGGCGGCGTTTTTGTGACGAAGTAACGTGTGCGAGGGAAAAAGAGAAATGGCGACGCGCTCATCTGTGATGAGCGTTTGTGAATGTGTTGCAGCTTCTGAGATGATGGATACATTCGATTTAGATATAGGCTTAACAGGCCGTTAGAGTATATACGCAAACCACAGTTTCCTTTCAGCCGATGTGGTCCTCCCATATCATCTCGACGACTCATGTCGACATCAGCATAGAGTTCAAGGTAAGGTGAAAGGATTACAATGAACTTCCCATGAACTTCCCATGAAAAGTATCAGTAATAAAAAATATTATCAATTCGGTATCAGGGCCCAATAAGCCAGAGTGTCCCATTCCAACCTTCTAAAGCCTACGCTGGAGCCGCTAAAATCTCTCAGTCCTCCCAAAACGCCTTGAACTGTAGTTCAAATCGATCGTACAAACAACCCCCCTGTCTCAACGACCAAATGACCAAGCATCCCGCCCACCAAACCACTCACCCTTCCTTTCTTCCTCCTCCAGCATAACCTTCTTCCCACACCCCGTACATCTCAGTTCCCTCTCGCCCTTGCACCCACAAACCTCCCCCTCCACACTCTTCTCCACCGGACTCATCATCCTGCGCTCCAGCCACCGCGCAAGCTCCGCATTCACACTACCCGTTACCCTCGCCACCCTCACCCCTCTCACCCCAAGAAACAGTCGCAGAACAGATGCATCGCAGCCGTCAAACATGCTCTGCCACACCCTAATCTCCAGGTACTCGGCACCGCTGAACGCAGCCGCCGCCTGTTGCGCGGAGAAGCGCGGATCCGTGTCCAACCGCATGCTAATCTGCCAGCGGCTGATCTTGGCGATGCTATCGGGGTTGATGACGGGTTGTGCGGCGGAGGTAAGATGGGGGAGTGCGGTGAGGATGGCGGGATGTGCGTGAAAGATGTTGGTAGTGTAGAGCATGTTTTCGGCTTCTTGGTAGATTTTCTTGCATGTGCGGAGGATTGCGGGGTGGAGCGTGGCTTGCTTGTAGCCTTGCGGGTTGAAGGTGGGGAGGTCGTGGGGGGTGGGTGCATTGGGGCAGAGGAGCGCCGTGTATATTTGGTTGCGGATTTCGGCCGGGAGGCGGAAGAATGGAGAGGCTGTTTGGGGATCAATGTATCGGGTTCCAGCGTAGTGTTGTGCGTTTGGGTTGGTTTGTTGTTGGACTGGCTCTTCTTTCTTGGCTTCTTGTCCCATTATTGGTGAGATGGGAGAGATTGAATTGAAATGCGCCGCGAAATCATATATGGACGTCATTCTTGCGTAAGTTTTGGCTTTGACCTTTGATTTATCTTTAGCAAGAGGAATTGTTCGACCTGTCCTCAAGCCTGTGCTGTGATTTGACCAAGAGATAACCGGACAGTGGAGTTGATGTTGGATTGTGTTCCGTAAGCAGATCAATTGACTGCAATGATCTAGGAGTTCGAGACTGCAACGATGGCCGATATGGATATAGTCGAGTAATTGTCCACCGTTGCTTTCGATGTCGTCTGTAGGGTAGGTTCTGGAGTTATTCCTAATCGGGCGATGCACTTCTTATCGGATGCGTATTCGTAGGTGATTGTGTTCAATGTTGACGGTGTGTATGTGACGAATTGTTACTGGCACTACTATCTTACTTATATACCAACAGACTCGGAAACACAATCCCAGTTTTACATTGCTGCTGAATGCACTTTGCTGTCCACCGAAACATCACACGTTGTCTGGTCGCGATCAGCCGGTCCGATACGCGATAACGCGGCATGCTAGAGGAACCTTGCAAGTCGCGCCACATTTCTGGGCGCATCACTCCACCACACATGACGAGGATGCGAATGCTGGAATGTTGAGTCTCAACCCTAAACTACGCGAGATTTCCCGATTGCTATTTTGGACGCAAGGCGAAGACTGCTACTTTGAAGTCTGCATAGTATGAATAGTTGAACTTTTGTGTGAGAGAGGAGAGGTGATATACTGAGTCGGCTTGCTGATGCCTCCACCCATCACCAAGTAGATCTTTCAGAGAACCATGGCAAGCCATGCATTGTGCAATCTCGCTATCAAAAGAATTCGAACCCAGAGAAGAAACTGTTGAACCAAGTTCACCGACTGCCACTCTACAACGTCAGCGCACTGACCAAAACAACACCAAAGCGTGCGTTGGAGATATCTCGGATGTGTGGCCGTGTGGTGTGATCGACAGAGTAGGACCTCCTCCATTCTTGTTCTTGCACATCGCCACGAGCCTCGAACTCTACCATCGAAATATTCCAGGCTGCTGACAGTGGGCCCGAGATTTCCCAAAAAGAGTGTTGATACTGTCCACTCGCAGAAAATTCGGAAACTCGACAAAGTCTGGCGTTGCACAGCATTGTCATCATGACTTGATGCCAATAGGCCACAGCGGTTCACTCTTGAGTCACCATGTTGCTATCGTTACTCTGACTCGATAGATAAAGGGAAAATCTGGACCTCTATTGACCTAGAAGTTCTATGGAATCGACCTCGTCGAAATCCCGGATCGACGCACAGGAATCCTGTATAATGCTGCCTACGAACAAATACGTCAACTACCAAAACAGACATAAACCCCGTCACCTATCCCGCACCTCCAATCAAAATCTCAAAACTCATCATCCTTCACTATCCCGATCCCGAATGATCTGAATCCAATCCCGCTTACTTAACCCACCAACCCACCTCACATCACCCAGCCCACCACCATCATCACAAAGTTTCTCTCTACGCCCCAGATTACATTTGTTCCGGTTGCACCAAGCTCATGCCTCACTTTGTCGTTCCATGTTCGGTACCGCAAGAGCCGGCATAGAGGTGTCTGTCTAACGAAACACTTATAGTGTTCATCAACCATTCATGATTAGCCGGCTTGCCAACATGACCTGCGTATAGTGTGTGCAGATTGCGCGGTGATGTCGCCATGACCAGTGGATTGTACATTTGGGCATCAAGGCATGAGGCGTGACTATGCAGTATATTGAGGGGATAGGAATCAAAAGTGATGGATGTGGAGCGGCTATTGGACGTACCAGAGGTTGAAACATTCGGTATATAAGGCAAGTTTCATGTACTAGAATGAACAGAATAAGCATACAGACAAGTCTTCATTCATACGAATCATGATTTTCACGAGTATCTTCACCACGGCTGCGCTGCTCGCTGCTCATGCTGCCGCTCATGGCGCTGTAACTAGCTATGTAATCGACGGAGTCACGTACCCAGGGTAAGAGGCACCTCCATTCCATCTCTCCATCTTGCCACCCTTTCAAACCCCCCATTCATCTCTTCCCTCCCACTTCCTCTCCATTCCCCCTCCTCTCCCACCACACTAACCACCCCCTGCCCCTAAACCCAGCTACGAAGGCTTCGCCCCTGCCACCTCCCCCAAAACCATCCAACGCCAATGGCCAGACTACAACCCCACCCTCAGCATCACCGACCGCAAAGTCCTCTGCAACGGTGGAACCTTGGCGCCCCTCAGTGCCTCCATCGCGGCCGGCTCCAAGATAAAGGCAATCTGGAAGCAATGGACGCACGAGCAAGGCCCCGTAATGGTGTGGATGTACAAGTGTTCGACTGGGGACTTCAGCACCTGCGACGGCAGCGGGAAGAAGTGGTTCAAGATTGATGAGGAGGGCATGACGGCGCCGCCGCTGAGTGGGCGGAATTGGGGTACGGCGAAAGTGATGAAGAATTTGAGTTGGGAGTCGAAGATTCCGGAGGGGTTGGCTCCCGGTAAGTATCTGGTGAGGCATGAGCTGTTGGCTTTGCATCAGGCGAAGACGCCGCAGTTTTATGCAGAGTGTGCGCAGGTGAGTGGTTTCATCTCCTTCTCCTTCACCACAAGGTGAACTACCCAAACTAACCACTCCATCCCCACCCCCCAGCTCGAAGTCACCGGTACCGGCACCGCCCAACCCAGCAACGACTACCTCGCCACTATCCCCGGGTACGCCGCACAAAGCGACCCCGGCGTAACTGTGGATACATACAACAATGCTATTACCACGTACACATGTCCCGGGCCCAAGGTGTGGAAAGGGTAGAGTATGGAAAGGGGTGCGAGAGTGGAGGGGGATGAATGAAATGCGTATGTTCAGGTGCATGTAAATTGAGGAAGCGTGGTGTTGGATAGATAGTCCATTTATCAACGGCGTTTGATGTGTATGAGCTCAATGTTGCGAGTGGCCTTGGGCGTGGTTGTTTAATAGTCGATATAGTTGTGATGTGGGAAGATGTGGTTGCGATAGTAGAGGTCGTGAGACGTCGGGTGGCTTGTTTTGTTGGTGCTGAAGACAGCTGTTATTGTAACGAGAGAAACCCTGATTTCTGGGCTTGTTATGCGGCAAGGTATTATTGCAGAGTACTGCGCTTGTCAGTAATTATGCATTCGAATCCACCCCGGATGAACAGAGATGGCGTAAAGGGACTGAGCAGTTTAGATTGTTTCCATTGCATTGGACGGCTCGTAATGTGCCCATGCTGGACTGTAGTATGAATAACAAGAAAGAAATACAGCCTATGCAACAGAGTCATATCTCACTGTTGCGAGAAAACGCCAGACGCCATCATCCCTTTGCCTGACACTATGGCCATCATATATGCAATAGAACACATCTGATCCACCCAGCTCATCATGCCCAGCTCATCCTTCACCCCGGCGCTCACTTGCGCACACTCTTACTAGCCTTGCCAACCACCTTTGCCAACTCAGCATATGTCTCTTTGAATTCCACGTCGTCCTCGTCCTTGCCAGCCTTCTTACTGGTCCGTTCCTTGGCAATCATGACTACACTTGTAGGCCTCTTGGTTGCGCTAGCCTCGCCAAGCTGCGCGCGTGACTTGATGTAGATGTAGGGCACGTTGTGGTCCTCGCAGAGCACAGGGATGTGTGAAATTACGTCCATAGGGGAGATGTCGGCGGCAATGACAACAATGGCAGGGGGATCGCTCAAGTCAGCGGACGTAGAAGCGGCAGATTTGCGGAGCGCTTTCACTACCTCTTTCACACCGCGGCGAAGGGTCTTGGACTTCGCGGCTATTATAATGCATTAGCTTTTAGTTTCGCGAGGATGAAGGTAGTAGTGCGGCGAAAAGAGGCTGGCTAGGAGGGAAGCACCAGCAATCAATAAGTTCGCGAACAGACTGTAGGAGCAAAACATACACTTCTTAACTGTCTTGAGGATCTTCTTGACTTCTTTCTCGTTGTCGGCCAGCGGGAAGGCAAAAGGCACGAGCGCGCCCTTTGGCTCCTCACCATCTTCCCCAGCCCGCACCAGTTGCACCTCTGGCGCCTTCTCAAGCTCGGCCTCAAGAGCATCTACCATTTCCGCGTCAACCTGGACCTTCTTCTCCTTCTTCTCCTTCTTGTTGGACTTGGTTACGCCATCAGTCTCACTGCGCTTTTCCTTCTTCTCCTTCTTCTCCTTCTTCAGCTTCTTTTCGCTAAGATCTTTGGCCATTGCGTGTGGGGACAAGTATTCAACAAAGAATACGTGGGCAAATGTAGAGGAATTTGTGTCGTGGAGTGCAATGCGACGGGATGCGATGTTGGAGATGCTGGGCTGGGGACCGGTCTCGAAGTTTTGGCGAAAAATGTTCGTTTGGAAGGAGCTTGGACCAGAACATTATCGATTAGGACTAGTCAACCAGCTGCTTTGAGGCAACCTTCTTGAGCCTTGAGGCATTGCTCTGACCAAGTTTCGCAGCACAATGTCTTCGTGGGATTAAATATTCGTGTCAATCGGTTAAACAGTTATCCAAGACATATGTTTGAGTACGGAACAGTTTCCCAACCCAGTATCCTTGCAATTCCGTACCTCCATATCATCAATCTACAGCAACCGCGCTTGTCTCCTGCCGTCGTGGTCGCAATGCAACTCAATACATACTATGTTATATGCACAAAAAGAGACTTGTAAGAAATAAGAATAATGAGATAAGGTATTAGCGGAGTCGCGTGAAAACAACGCCTGCAATCGCACCAAGTAAAGCAACAAAACGCGTGGGGCCAGCCTCCAGTATAGTCCAGCAGGTCCATGGGTATGAGCGATGAAAGATATTAGAAGGTTGCTGAAGAGGAGAGCCTGAGCTCGAGTGTGTAGGGATCTGGAACAGACCGCCCCTTTGCGCCGTACTGCTCGTCGAAGAGCTCGAAGCAGATGAAGTATGCCGTACGCCAAACGCCATGCCATGCCTTGATTGCACGGAAATGACAATATCTGGACACATGAGATAGTCCACAGTCTAGCAAGGAAACACAGAAATGAATAAAAAATTGAACAAGATGTCAAGTTGCAAGCCGGATGATGCAACGATCTAGTACGCCATTTGCATCTCCAGGACTTGCACGCCTCCAGTGGCCATTGGAGATGCAGACCCGGAGCGCGACGACATGGCGTCTTCGTAGCCGACAAGGGCTTGTGAGTGAAGCTTAAAGGCTTCGCCCATAAGTCTAGTGATACTGTGCAAATGTTAGTACTCAGAATAGTTGAAAGACTATTGGAATCACATACCCCCATACAACAACCTCATCAATCATACTGCCCCAAAGTCGGGCAACAGTAGAGCTCAACTTGGCACCATAGACGTCAACAGAGTCGTCGTCAAAGAGATTACGGAGCTTGTTGTACATGGCCAGCTCTTCCTCGGTAGCAGGCTCTTCATCGTGTTCCAGACGGTAGAGCCAAAGAGTGAGGATGACCATGAGATCCATGCCAGTGAGGGGATGTTCGATACTCCAGTTGGTAGCCGAAGTTCGTGCAACCCAACGGATTCCTTGTACAGCTGCCACTTCGATGCAGTCGAAGCACTCTTGAATGACTTTGATCATCTCAGGCGATCGCTGAACCTTGTCGCGAGCATTGGTCATGGCAGCGGCCACTTCGTATGAGTCGTGATAGCGCAGAGCTTCCTGAATCGACTTGAGGTCGACAACCAGACGGGCTCTTGTATTCCTGTACAAGGCCATCGCATTGAAAATCAAAGGATGTCCCTTGTGTGGTGCGCTCAATTGCACGACGACAGTCTCCGGTTCACACAACTCGAGTGATTTCTCCCAAGTCTCCAATGCCAGGCGAAGTTTGTACTCTGTAACGACATCTTGCAGGGCCTCTGGGCTTCGCTTGTGATACCAGACCTCGAGGAAGAGAGCGTTGATCATGACACGAGTGGCGAATGCACTGTAGCGTGCAGTCTCTCCTTGGAAGAGGTTGTCGTGCGCTTGGCGGAAGGTAATAATCTTGGATGCTGCTAGACTCTCACGCCATGCTTCATCATCAGAGACCTCCATCGTCCAGAGTGACTCTGACGACGGCAGCTCCAAAGTATCGAATTCATTGAAGCCCATGGCTGGGGTGTGGTTGTACGTCAGCGTTAGCAGACCAAAGAAGATATACACTGCATAATATGTTCGACGACACTGCTCATCTACTACCCATTCCTCGTGGTTAGGCTGGGCGCCGTCGCGGGCGTCAGCTCGGAGCTTGAGCTCGTAGCGGTTTCCAGCGACCATCTTGCCTGTTGTTAGTTTGTGCACAAAAGGCTGTCAGAGAACACTTACATTGGCCAGTAAACTCTTGATCGAGCATGCCCATTCTAGCCCCTTGGGATCTCCACTCCAGCTTGAGAAGATCATGTTCAGAAGCGTACTCTGCATGGTCCACAAGGGGCACTTGCGTGAGCTAAAGTTTTCCTTGTTCTGCAAGAACTGGTTGACAAGAACTTTGGAGCCAATGTGCAGCATGTATGCCTGATCTTGATCGAAGATGTACAGGGCACCTATGGACAGTACCGCCAGGAGCAATGGCGCCGAGACCTCTGTCGGGTTGAAAGTTGCTGGGTGCAGGAATGGCAAGTGATGATGGAACAGATCGAAATAGGTCTTGAGCAGACGGTTCAGTGTGTTCAAGCTGGGCAAATGGAACGTCTCGAGCAGTGAGTTCTCGCTGTCGTATTGTTTGATATTCTCATATATCCTGGCGCACTGCTCTTCCGAGTCGAGCTGCGGGGCGCGTGTCATCATCAGAGCCTGGTTGGGCCCAGGGGACTTGCGGTAGTCGACGGGCGATACAGGCCCCATCATCGAGGGATACGGCGACAGGGCACCAGGCGTACCGAGGCCGTTGCCACCGTTCATCGCCTGGAAGGTGGGCGCTAGAGTATCGTTGCCCGACATGGTGCGCTCCATCAGCGGTGGCAGCTGATGTGGATGCGAGGTGAGCGCGCTGGCGCTGTTGAAGGCAGAGTGCGAGTCTGGGGTAGACTTGGATTCCGACAGGGGGACCATTGAGTCTCTCCAGGGCATCTGGGGCAGCATGTTCTGGCCGGGCGCTGTGTAGGGGATGACGGGTTCCAGTATCGACTGGCCCGTGGTGGGCGAGATGCCGGGCTCATGGTGCTCGGGCAGCATCTCGGGCTCCTGGCTGGCCATGGCCTTGTGGTGGAAGTCCGTCATCAGCATGGCAGCGGCCTCGAGGTCTGCATCTTCCATGGCCTCGTTGCTGTCCTCGATCTGCTCCAGTGTAGTGGCGGCATTGGGGGCAGCGGTAGCAGCAGCAGCAGCAGCAGCAGCAGCAGCGGTAGCGGCAGCGCTTGTCACTGCGGTTTTCGAGGGCCCAGCGTCGGCCGTCTTGTTGGCAGAGCGCCGCTTCTGTTCGCTGGGCAGGGGCGCACCGCCGTCTTTGGCGTGAACGGTGCGGTCGTGTCGCAACAGGAGGTCGCGACGCACAAAGGTGCTGCGGCACTTGAGGCACTTGAAGGGTCGCTCTTTGGTGTCTGTGAGTGAGGGGCAAGTCAGCAACACTGTCTCTCTGTTCCCCGCAGCGCGACCACGCGCGAGGTCCCGCATCAGTAAACAGCTACCCCGCGCCAAACACTCAAAGCTCCATCACAAGGGCCACCGGGATGACTTACGAGAGCGTTCATGACGGCTGCGGTGCTCGCTCCTGCTGAAGGCGCGGTTGCACTGTATGAACTCAGTAAACGTCATTCCTACCCGACTGGGGAGGAGATCAAAAGTACATATTGGCATTTGTATTTTTTATCTACTACTTTGGCAGTAGTCGAAGGATTCGCCATGGGAGCAGATCTGCGACGGTGTTGCAGATACAGATACTGCCGTGGATCGATTGGGGTCGGCGCGCGTGGGTGTTAAAGCGTGTGGATGGGTGCGGTGACAGGGCTGTACGCTGAGTTCATTCCGCAATATGGGCATGCGAAAAACACTGGAGAGGCTGTGTGACGGACGGCGGGCAGTGAAAGGCAGGCGACCAGTGTCCGGTAGCCGTGTGTGCAATAAGATGGGACGGTGATGATGGATGGGTGGGTGGGTGGATGGATGGTGGCTCGGCTGGCTGCGCGAGGGCGGGATACGTTAAGGAGACCACTTGGAGGGAGGGAGAGAGAGGGGTGTGCGGGCAGCCAAAAACCAGCACGGGTCCGCCTCACCAGCCACCCCTGCTGCTGCTGGTCTGATTCATTACACACTTGGTACCGCTCACAACCACGTCGAGCGCCGAGAAGACCGTCATGTATTGGACGGTTGGCCACTTTTTTGTTGTTGTTGTCGTTGTTGTCGTCTTCTCCTGACTGTCACACACACATACACTGTCTCTCTCTCTCTCTCTTCTTCAGTTGGCAGTGGATGGGCGTTGGCTGCTCTTGCCAATTGTAATCTCATCAGAGCAACGGCAATGCCTAATTTACTGTACCTACAACAAGAGTACTGTGTAGTACCATACCATACCATACCATACCGTACCACGCCACGCCAACGCCACGCCACGCCACACTAAACCTGCCACAGCCATACATACAATACCAAATGTACCATAGTAGGTACTGTACCTAGAGTACTGTGTATCTTCTTTGACCACAATCTGGCGACGTGCGCTCCACTGCCTCCACCATGACCCCTCGCAAACACCCGCAGCCCGCTTCATGCTCCGGGTACACCCTTAGCATCTGGGACCAATTGCAACATGGCACACCGAGGACCAATTGTTCTTTTCGCGGGAGCTTTTCTCTGAAAGGTCTCGCCGTACCACGCGCTTCGGCGGAGTCGACCTCGCACTCTACCAGTTGTCACACAGCTTCAAGAAAAAGCGGTAAGAGGCTCGATACACTTTTGCCTGTTGCAGGATTAGACTACCGGGCGCTACTAGACTCGAGTTCAAAGATGCATCCCAGGCATGCGAAGCCTCACCGCCTCACCTACCTACTTCAGTCTGAGCATGTCGTCTTGCATGCCACTTTCCATACTGACTTAGCAGTCCAAACTTACCACGAATGATACCAAATGTCGCCCCTCCTGAGGCCTGTGCCCTTTCTATGACGACTGGGCGCGGGAAAAAGGGGCAACCCCTCGCTCTCATCTGACATGACGCCAGGCGCGCCCCTCCATCTTCAGACTTTCTCCCACCTCCCACAAGAGGCTGCCACTGCGACTTACACAGGACCTACCGGTAATTTCAAGACACCAGGGTGATCGCCGGCTGAGCTCTCTCGTTCCTGGGAACTCTATCCACTCTTTCGGGCCATGAATCCCGTTCCCCGGACCCACCGTCCACTTAGTGAGATCCACACATGCAGTAGGCCGCCAGACCTGACAGGAGAGCTCACACGTTGTCGGACAGCACGCCAACAGGATGTTTTTCCACGTGTGCTGAAATCATTGAAGAGCATTGGCAATCCACGTTTACACAGCACCTTCTAGTCTACATGCTCCCAATCGAAAGGCCTATCCAGCTGTCAAAATCTCCGACCAGCTTGCAACAAGGACATGCCCGCTGAGAAAGGACATGCCCCGCTTGCCTCCGTTGAGCCTCGCGTATGTACGTACATAGCACATAGCGCAGGATCCTGGAGCATGGCGAGACCCGCAAGGTACACAAACGGTGTCGCTATTCATGACAGCTCGCCTTTGTTCACCGTCATTTCTTTGACAACCATCAAGTCCACGCCTCAAAGGACGGCGTCAATGACTTTCTATAATGCCCCTCCATCTGATAGTGGAGGGGTACATGTCTCTGTTACCCCCCTCCCCCTCCCCCTCCCCCGCGCTAGCACCATAGTATGTCTCTCGTAACGCTTCTTCATTACAAAGCAGGATCGTGCTTACATGAGGTTTCAAATAACACCGGATGGTCTGTTCCCCACACACAGACATGGTAGGCCCTGGGCGCGTCCACAAGAAAACAAGTTAATTTCGGTGCCGTCGAACAGACAACACGAGCAGCCTTCTACCTACTGGTAGGTGACTCTGTACGCTTCAAACCCGAATGGCCATGTGCAGTACAACAGGAGCGCGTCGTTGCCGAGGACTGCATGCATCGATGAAATGGCATCAGCTACCCTGTCTCGATCTCTGAATCTTGCATCTCAGCCCTCCGACGCCGTGTCGCTTCTCGGAACAAGCAGTTCGTCAAGCTCCGTCGGTGGTATGGTGGTTACATACATCTTCAGATTCTTCACGCACCTCCACGTGTGCTACGACCTGCTGAGGCCTTTGCAATACTCTACCGTCTTGCTTGTTTCTCGCCCTGCAACCGCTATCAAGAAATCCTTGCCTCAACAGATTGTCACAAGGTCACATGGCATTGATGAGTGAAGACGGCCCTGTAGTCAGCTACAAATCAACCGCATCAACTATTGACCCACCACACAAGTTAGGGCCCGCAAGCCGGTGTTGCAGGAACCTGCAAACCCTCCTTCCGCTTCCACGCGACAACCGATACGTCTTTGAGTTTGGTGTTGGTTCTGAACTTCCATCGGGCCTTTCCAGATCCGGTTGTGTGTCAGTCACCGCCTGCCATCAGCCCACCATGCTCACTGCCCACTGCTCACTCCAATAGTCTGCGCAGTAAGATGTCGATTGACAGCCATGCTAACACAGTACAACTTCACGCATGCTGGGCCATACTGGACACGGTATGGTTTACCATTCTGGCCTGGGAGAACTTGGCAAGGGTTTTTTTACGCCTTGCATTAGGTGCTGCATTGACATGTGGTCTTGCGAAACTGCTGTGAAATTGCGTTTCCTTCTCCCTATCGTGTAGATGGAGATTTCCATTTCAACAACTTGGGTTTCAAAGGGCAAGGTTGAGTACTATAGTCGCACGAGCTCACCATGCTCGTCCAGAGTCCAGAGCCCACCCAGTCTCCGAACGCCGTACTCTAGCACTTCACAATTCCACGTGGAGAAGTGATCTGCCCAACTTCCTGAAAGGTCTTGTTCGGGAGTGTAAGGCCGAAATGTGCAACGAGTCAAGCAGTGTTCTAGATGGACACACCTGAGGGTCCTCTTGTCCCCGCTCTTTGATCTCTGATCAGATAGCAGCCGGCCTCATCAACCGGTTATGCACAGTACATACACGGGGCATTCCAGGTGGGGTTTTTTTTACACGGTTCAGACCGCCAGCAGATTGCCCATCAAAATACCTCAATGGGAGGGGTTGTTTTTTTGAAAGATGCGGTGAACAGCTTAAGTCTTCTTTGTGCAGACGAGCCTACCAAGTTTCTTTGAGGGTCAGGTAGGTATGGTCGACATTACCGTGTAGAGGTTACCTAGCCCAACTACCTACCCAGCCACCAGCCTCGGCCGCCCTCCCATATGCATCAGGCCTGAGAGTTGAAATCATCCTACTGTGTGCTTTATAGGCAGGCATCATATATAGACGCGCATGTATGTGTGGAGGGCAGGGCGGAGTCCAGAGTCCAGAGTTCAGAGTCCAGACGATAGCGGCGAGCTCAATGCTGCCGCAATCAACCAAGAGGGATGGTCCCGGTTCTTGACACTACCTATTAGCTGCTTTTGCCCTTTCGCATTGATACCCCATCCAGAGTATCACGTGCCGTCCCCACAATCAGGCTCACGACGCCTTGCAGCGACTCGCCCAGGTGTTGCAGTCTCTTCCGTTCCAACCTCTCTTTTGCTGGCCTTGAGGCAAAACAAAGTGCCCGTTGCGAGATTCAATTCGCTGCGTCGCTCAGCTAGGCGCGGATGCGAGGTCTAATGTCCAGCTTCTAGCCCAATAACAAACCCCTCCACCCTGGCCAGAATACGCGGAGACAACCTCACGAATCGACCGCGTTGTAAGAATAGACGGCCCACTTTGCGACCGCATCCACATACGTCGAGGGCTGCTGCAGAGGGTTTTGCGCGCTTACCAGTGAACACAAGGTTGCTGCTGTCTGCTCCCCTCTGGTCCGCCACGGGACGGTTGCGCCTTCCACGATGAACGGTTTCAACGGCACCGTCTCGCCTGGCGGCATGTACGTGAAGGCGCTCTACGACTACGACGCCGACGACCGCACCAGTCTGAGCTTCCGACAGGGCGATATCATCCAGGTGATTACCCAGCTCGAGAGTGGCTGGTGGGATGGAGTCATCAACGGGGTCCGGGGCTGGTTTCCCAGCAACTACTGTGCCGTGGTACAGCGGCAGAGCGAGGACGTCGAGGACGATAGGAACGGTGCAGAGGCCGACGATGACCACGACACGCGGTCGCTGGGCGGGACCGACTACACCAACTCGGACACGGAATCGCTGGGCGGCAACGAGACCATCCTGCCCGTCGAGCAGCACAATGAGGCGAACAAGGAGGATCAGGCTGCCTACTGGATACCCCAGGCGACACCTGATGGAAGGCTCTTCTATTTCAACACCCTCACCGGCGTGAGCACCATGGAGCTGCCCCTGGAGGCGCCTGGCGCCAACGAGAGCGGCCCCCGCGACCGCGTCAACGTCTTTATTCCAGAGTCGTCACGACCGCCCGCCGAGGCCTTTGCCTCTGGCTACAATGTCGATGATACCGACGATGAAACGTCTGCATCCGACTTGGAAGGCCCCAATCCCAAGGGCTCGTACAGCTCGCGCGTAAGTATTGTGTGCTACCGTGCACACTACGTGACCATACCTGGCGAACAACTACTAATAGGGACCACCACAGACAAGGCATCGCTTATCCGACGGCCTCTCATCAGCGACCTCCATGGAGTCGATGAACGCAGGGCTACCCGGCAGGTCTTACGATGGGGTTGGTATGAGCTTTTCGGCTGCAGCCATCCCACCCACTGGTACCACGGCCACATCCTTCGCGAACAGCCCAGCTGTGGGTAGCTCCAACGGCACCTCTCCACAGTCGCGCCGATATTACGACGATGTCAATCCGGTCCCTCTGACCTGGAATAGAATGGTAGAAGACATGCGCCGAGCCGTCGAACTCTATCGACAGGCGATCAACAACAGTGCGCGCTCAGAATTCGTCAAGAGGGCAGAGGACATCTCTGATCACTTGAGACTATTGCTAGCGGCAGGCTCAGGGACCACCGACAATCATTCTGGCAATCCCTCTATCATATCTACTAACAAAGCTCTTTATCCTCACTTCAGGGAAACCATGTCGCGCTTCTCTAAACTCGTTTTATCTTCGCACATTGCAGCATCTGACTTTCCACCACCTGATTCGTACTCAAAGTGCTTAAAAGAGGCGGATGGTGTCCTGAATGGGGTGTTTGGATTCGTTGAAGTAGCCCGCCAACAACGCGGCGAAGAGATCCCAAGGCTTGTACCTGGCTTTATCGTAGGCCCAAAAGCAGGAGGTAGCTGGCAAAACAACGGTACAGATGCTCGAGATGGCGGCTCCTCGGTGTCTTTTATCAATCAAGAAGACTACGATCCGCCCATAGAACCTACGATCAAGCTCGACTTGCGCGTGCTGGAAAGGCTGGAAGAATACAAGAAAATGCTCGTGTCGAGCCTCCGCCGGCTAGACGAACACCTGGTGATTCGAGACAAGATTGTCACACATCAACGACACCGGATGATAGGCGATCAGATCTGTAACGCGACAGCAAAGGTCTTGGACATATGTAGACCGTGGCTATCGACGATAGAATCGGTGAACCTGTCCTCGCTAAACTACGACAGTCATGGACAACAGCTGAGTGAGTTCAGCATTCAGAAGCAGAAGGCCTATGATGTGGTTGCGGAACTTGTGATTGCCTGTCAGGGAGTGGCAGCGCCATTGGGAGATGAATGGGCTGAACTTCGGGGTGATTCACTCGAGGATCGGATCAATGCTGTGCGCGCTGTCTCGCGAGATCTCGAAGCCACCGCTGCGCATCAATTTGGACTGCTCCAGCAATTGTCAGATTCCATGCCCCTGGCCGACATGGTTTCTCGTAGCGGAGACGATCCACGAAGATACACAGATTCAGAGGTACCGATTTCGCATGCACGTGGACCTTCAGGACTCCAGAGGCCTCTACTCAAGGACTTGCCACAGTCGCAAACTTACAGTGAAGGCACCCACCCAGGCTTAGATGAAGGAGGAAAAATTGAGCCCATCACTCGGGGAGTCAACAGCACCAAAGTCGCAAAGTTCTTTGGTGAAGTCCCCGTCATGCCACCCGCTGCTCTTGAGGAAACCCCAGAATACCTGAAGCTCGATCACGAAGGCGAAATCTCATACGATCATAAGTCAATTCCTCCACAACTGCGTGGGGGTACATTGGCAGGTCTTGTGGAACAACTAACACGACATGACCGCCTTGATGCAGCCTTCAACAATACATTTCTGCTCACCTATCGATCCTTCACGACTGCTTCTGAGCTGTTTGAGATGCTCGTGAAGCGATGGAGCATACAACCGCCCCATGGCCTCGACAAGGAAGATTATCAAGTTTGGGTGGACAAGAAGCAAAAGCCCATCAGGTTTCGTGTTGTCAACATTTTGAAGAGTTGGTTCGACAATTTCTGGATGGAAGGCAACGACGAGGAAGCAAAACTATTGATTCAAAGAGTGTACAACTTTGCAAAGGATCACGTGGCAACGACGAGCACTCCTGGAGCAGCTCCTCTGATGACATCGGTTGAGCAGCGCTCTCGTGGCCCAGACATGCCAACCAAACGGCTCGTACTCACTTTGAGCGCCCAGACGCCGCAGCCAATTCTACCGAAGCACATGAAGAAGCTAAAGTTCTTGGACATTGACGCGACCGAGTTTGCCCGTCAACTCACTATTATCGAATCGAGACTGTATGGCAAGATTCGGCCGACCGAATGTCTCAACAAGACATGGCAGAAGAAGCTGGTGCCTGGCGAGCCTGACCCAGCAGCGAACGTGAAGGCTCTTATTCTTCATTCGAATCAATTGACCAACTGGGTGGCGCAAATGATTCTCACACAACAGGATGTCAAACGAAGAGTGATTGTTATCAAACATTTTGTCAACGTTGCAGATGTAGGTTTTCCGGTTGGCGTTGTTTGCTTTATGCTTGGCTGACATCTACCCAGAAATGCCGCCAACTCAACAATTTCTCCACGTTGACATCCATCATCTCGGCGCTTGGCACTGCGCCAATCCATCGCCTAAACCGAACATGGAGCGCTGTCAACCAGCGATCGATGGGCGTGCTTGAGAGCATGCGCAAACTCATGGGTAGCACTAAGAACTTTGCGGAGTATCGGGATACGCTACACAGAGCGAACCCGCCCTGCATTCCGTTTTTCGGTAAGCGGCTGGCCATCGTCATCTAACCTGTCGCTAACCAAGACTTAGGCGTGTATCTCACTGACTTGACCTTTATCGAGGACGGCATCCCGTCGCTGATTAAGAAGACCAACCTCATCAATTTCGCCAAGCGGGCGAAGACGGCGGAAGTGATCCGCGACATTCAACAGTACCAGAACGTGCCGTACCCGCTACAGCCAGTGCCCGAGTTGCAAGACTACATTCTCACCAACATGCAATCGGCGGGCGACGTGCACGAAATGTATGAAATGAGTTTGACGGTGGAGCCGCGCGAACGAGAAGACGAGAAGATTGCAAGGTACACCCCGCACTACTTTCGCTGATTATCATTGACCTTCTTCTGTGTGTTCTCGAGGAGCGTAGAGCACTAACGGACGATCTAGGCTTCTCTCCGAGTCTGGATTCTTGTGATGATACCCCCCCCCCTCCCACGACGCCATCGTTTGGGCTGCTGCTGTTACTGCTACTGCTACTGCTACTACTATATTACCACGACAAGGGCGTGAAAAGGAGCGTCTTTTTGATATCTTTGATTGTTTGCCTGGCGTTGGAATGGGTTGTTATATATGCGTGGGTGCAAGACAAGCGGCAAGCGAATGGGGTATGAACAGGCATGTTTGGGTTACCGTAGATTTATGAAGGATGGACAAAGGTGCGATCATGGACTGCAACACTGTAACGTCGGATGATGACCTGGGAGTATGGGCACCGGCACAGCACGGGACGTGGTCAGACTACGAGCTGAGGACAGCACAGCACAGCACAGCACAGCTCGAGCCACGGTCGAGAGACTAGCACGTACAGGACGTACGTGCATAGTAGCATGTACTATTACGGCCATTATTACATACTAGGGACATTTTGAACCCCATGATCCCGTGTCCACGAATAATCATTCCCTTTTTGGGGGGAGGCTTTGTCGTGAACTCAATCACTTTGTTGTTGTTGTTGTTGTTGTTATATTTTTTTGGGGGGTACATACCGCATACAGGGCAGTGTGTACGGTAGGTATACACAGTATGTAGCCATGCCAAGGATCCTCCCCCCTTC